CATTCCTAATCCCAACATCCAGAATTCTATGCTTTTAAGGAACCCTTTTCTGAAACAAGCGGAAAAGCTGCCAGAAAAATTTTTAGTTTGAAACTGGACTTTTTAGATCCATTGTTTTCATTGAAATCCCAAGTTAACTCACGATAGACTGATAGTGTTTTAATAGCCACTAAAAAATTTTAATTTCTATTCTCAGAAAAGTTTGATTCGGGATAATCATTAATCATCAGCCATCGTTACTACCATAGTGTGGCCGCAAAGCGCCGAGGGAAGGGTGTTATAAAAGTATTGTTTAGGATGTGTTGTATTACATTCTGTTCTATCACCTTACACTTTTGCCCTTGATTAATCTTAGTTGACGGCATCTGTTTTCAATGTGTGTGTGTATATTTTTTGCGTTTTATTCAGTAAACATCGTTAAAAAAACTTATAATAAGCCATAAGAAGATGCCAGAGAAATAGTCCGTAGGTATTCTGATCCTTAGGTTTTTGCTAACACTTCCTTGTATAAATGTTCATTAACACAAGTTACGTGATTTAACCCAGTTTTTTAAACAATTGTTAATCACTTACAATGTTTTTATCGCGGAGAGATTTTTGAAGCTTGGCAAGCGCTGAAGTTTGTTACTGGAGAGAAAGCTGTAAGTAATATGTAAAGTGAAAAAGAAGGCAACAGAATTGGCATTTGAGATTCTTGAAAAGTTTTACTTGTTCTCTTCGAATAAAGAAGACTTCATTTTATCGAAATAAAACCCAATTGGTTGTTTTGAGGACTTACAAATCTTTATGCGTCCTAGCTGAGTATACAGTGTTTACTCCTGATCTTGAGAATTTAGGAAAAAAATTCCACCTGCGTGTCCACTGATAACATGAGCCTTTTCTATATCATGATATCACTTCTCAGTTTACTTTGATCTAAAAGAACATTAGCATTGATACATTGGAACAAGAGTTCCCTTTATTTAACAAATCTTACTTGAAAAGCTTTTCTAAAAAACTACTTATCAAAACCTTACGTGATCAGAAAAAACAAGCGCGTGCGGAAAAATAGTCTTAACATTCGCATACGTCAGCAGCATGCACCCATGGGCAAATAGTAGATGCTGAATTAACCAATCAGAGTCCGCGCTTTGCTTTAGTTATGTTAAGATAAGACTTAGTATAATTTCAGAGCTGAACAAAGAGTTTCCAGCAATCTGATTGGTCGAGCGGTTCCTTATATAACACTATATAAACCTCTCCGCGCGGTTTATATAAAATGTTAAACTAAAATGTTAATAAATGTTACTAAAATGTTATGATTTTAGAAATTTCTCTTTTGTTCAGCTCTGAAATTATACTGAAACAATCATTCGCCTCGGGTTCGGTGAATATTGTCAAATAGTCCCCTCGACTTCGTCTCGGGGATTATTCGACGATATTCACCTAGCCTGAGGCGAGTAATTGTTAAATATATTTTCCCATTATATGTGAAAAGACTTTATTTGAACCTTATCGGGAAAATTATCTCGACATGAGTGTCAACTTTGACGTTTTCATCGTAGATGACTGTGTTTCAAGAATACATCTCTCTGAAAAAGTTTCTTCCACACCACTTCACCGAATATTTTATCTTAATACATGTTATAAAGTTGTCTGCACCTCGGTTTACAGACGAGCTCAAATTTGTATTAAAGATGTTTGATTCACCCTAATACTTGCTTATACAACATTATGCCTTTTTATCATTATACAGATAGATTCCAAGTTGCCTAGTGTTTGTTCTTTTAAAGATCACAGAAAGTGTCAAAATGTACGAAAAGCGCCGCTGACCCAGTTGCTTGCGTCTCTTGTGTCCTTTTTTAGTTCTAATCAGATCTTTTTTGATAAGTAGTTTTTTAGAAAAGCTTTTCAAGATAAAAATTAGTGATAATAATTTTGAACGACGTTTCGACCTCGCTGAGGTCATTTTCAAGCTGATGAGAAGGAAAATTTTTATATATATGTACTAAATTCAAGACGACCCNTTTTATAATCACTCATAACACCAGTCCTTTTTGGGTCTACTTTCATAGGGACGATCTTAGAGTATAACCCACGCTCGGATTGTTTGCAATTTTTTAGCAAAGTCAAATCGGATGAAATCAGTTTCCCCTTCTTATGTTGTTTTCTTCGCCTTCAATCGGTTCTGCGATCCAGGACGAAACAAAAGAAAACAAAGTTCAGCAATGACGAGTAAGTGATAGAATGATGTATTGCATCTTACACCTCTATTAGTCCACTGATCGACTCCTGATGAGGGATTGCATTTGGCATTGAAGCGCGCCGGTTACAGGTGAATATGCCACCGGTATGTTCGAGTGGTGTAACTGAAACTAGGTTTCCAAGCTCAAATGTTCGTCATTTCAGTTTTTATTCAAATATGGATAACTGAACAATTTGCAAACTAGTACCACTCACAAATATGCTAAATTATCCTGCCCAGCAAACAAGTCTTCAGATAACGTTTTGATGTTGTTGTTCCCCAGCCACCTAGAAAACACCATGCAAAATTTTTTTTAGCTTGAGTCTGTTAGGCCAGGTGATTATTTCTGCTGCGAGGCAAGCCTTAGAAATCTATCTAAACAGTATACCTTCAAAAGAGATAGTTCTGAGTATAAATTAATTAATATACTAGTCACTTTTCAAATTCAGTTTTTTGATTGGCATTCAAGTTGGGAAAATGGAAAATCAATTCGATTCAGCTGAAGCCATCTGTCTTAAGCATCAAGACCAATTACTTACAGATCGTAGAACTTGAAACGCTGGAATATATCAGAAGGTAGAGTTTCCAGTCTGTTGAAGTCCAGGGTTCTGTAAAAAATATATTGGCATGAGGGGAGCCGCAGATACACATTGTGTAGTCTTAAGACTACACACTGAACACTTTGGATTTTGAAAGGCATGTCTCAACAGTTAGTCTGTCATCTTAGGTTCTTTTGCTTTTATTCTTGAAACGTTACTTTTGAACTTTTCCTCTTTTGAACTTTTCCTCTTTTGAACTTTGCGTTATAATTAATAAAGTTAAAACTGTCAGAAAAAATGTCGAAAGATGTCTTTCAAAATCAAAGTTGTTGTGTCTTTTCTTAAACTGACAGCATGGATGACCTTAAAGATTTTTTGAAATCCTCTTTGAACGTACAGAGGACGCGATTACATGTACACATGTGTTGATAACAAAATGCTCGATTATAAGTGACTGTTTACGGCCCACATTTCTGGGTTAATTGGCTCTTTCAAGTCCAAACTGCGAGACCCGCATGAGTTCTTGAACAGTGGTGTTTTCAGAAGGAGTTAAGCAGATAGTTTCCCGTGGCAGGAAATGTAAAGTAAAACATATCTTAAGGAGTAAACACACTGGAAAAGAAAAGGTTATGTCCCTCATAAATCGAATAATACTATTCGATTTATGAGGGAAATATTGGAAAGACCTTATTCGTCTTCTTAGACACAAGTAGCAGTTTTTGTTCATATTTTTTTTCCTAATTTGAATTTGCACTCGCTCGACCTTAAACACACCTCGCTAAATAAAAAATTTTAATACTACCTAATAAAGGATGGTTCTTGTAGCACTAGTGCAAATTCTCTGTGGAATTTAACATTAATTGGTTTAAAGTTATCAGCTTCCGTCTTGGAAAAGGTTGTGTTGATGACCGCACTATGGACCTTTAGCGTTAGCATAATTACTCATCGCAAGTGAAGTGAAAATCCAAAACTGCCAAACTTACAGGTTTTCAAATCTTGGCCAATGCGAATTCAAATACTTAGGTAGCTGATCAGAGGACAAATTCTTTAATTTGTTGTTGTTCAGGAATCTGTATTGACAACAAAAAAACAATATTAGTAAAGAATTAATGGCTTGATTTGATTTCCTTTGATGCTTTTGATGCAGACTTAAAACGCAGACTGAAAACAACAGTAGACCTCTCGTTGACTGTTTAATAAAAACGTGCAACTGATTTGGACACAGATGTCACGAAGTCAAGAGAAGATTCCTGTTTTCCACTTAAAACAATTTATTGGTCTACGACATAACTTTACAGTGTTATCTTAAATTTCTGAGAATCTTACTGAATCTTATAATCTCGAGCCTTTTTTATAGCAGCCGATTAAGTCATATCTAATTCTAAAACACCATTTTCACCAGTCAGAACATTGTAGACGCTAATGATGAGATATCCCTAAAATAACTCAACAGAATGTTCTGGAATAAGGAGAAGTTTCTAGCACACTAATCTTGTAAACATTGTGATGTGGTATTTCAATTTTCTAAATTTCCTCTCGATTTCTGGAAACTTCGTTACACCAGACCGTTTGCCTTCTTGCATTCTCCTAACTGTTGGAGTTTATATGAACTATAAGAAAATAACAAAAGAAGTAACGGAACAATATAACTAAGGAGAAAAAACTCCAAATCTTTCCGTACTCCCTTTTTTTGTAAAGGTTTTTTTAAAATCCTACTGCAAAATATTATTACGTAGATCACTCCCATTTCAGACTAAAAACTGCTTCGTTAGCAATTAAAGGTTGATACTTAAAGAAATATCTGGCGCAAACAATGCCTATCGCGGATCCAAGTTGAAGTGAAGTTCTTTACTCCTGGTAGTTTTCATCTGTATTATGACATCAATGATACTTTGAGGTTTTGGTATGGGAGGAAAATTCCCTCACTCGATTCTGGTCTGTATTTGCTGTATTTCACCGGATTTGCTTCTGTACCCTAAAGTGGAGGAGGTGGGTGGTGGTGGTGCAGTGGCTAAGATTTTTCCTCCAATACATGGAGTAATTAACATCATTGAGAATGACGTCTGTTGCCGCGCCGTACTAAAATGATCTTGATGGTTTTTCTCATTTTCGCTTCATCCTCTCCATTCGAAGAGCAAATGTACAGATGATTATTTTAATGGAAAGAAAAGGGCCTAAAAGCCTTAAAATCGACGACGGCAACAGTCCCAACGATAGATATGGAAATATTTTGTCGTGCAGCGTAAGCAATTTCAATTCTTGTATTCAAGCTGTCTTTCGCGCATCATGCCATTTGGCTATGTTTTAATAAAAAATTACTTGATTATTTCAAGATCCGGGAATGAAAGGTAGCTATGTTTGTAGCACGATAAATCCACGAGGGTCGCTTATCCTTTCCTTGTTTTTGTCTGTCTTCTGCCGGCCGCTATCTGCGACAGCATCGCTGACGTTGTCCAAAAGCTACGATCTTTATAAGACCAGTCCACGCACTTTTTTCTTGCTCGGGCAATCCCGAACAGGAAAGATGGGCCCATCTTTCCCGTTCGAGTAGTCAATCAGAACACAGACTCGCTTCCTATTGCCCTCGAGCTCTGCAGATATATGATAAGTTCACGTTATGCGGTGGCCGAAATATAAGGATTTGCATGGGGATAAACAGTCGCGCTCTTGAGCTAAAAAGTCTGAAATCGTTTTTTAAGAAAGTAAAGAAACTTTCCTCCCCTAACTGGATGTTCCTTTGTCTCTACATTTAAATGAGGACTCCGTGAGGGCTGTAATCAAAGCGGAGGTAATAGAAACAAATGTGGTCAAACGGAAATAGTCTACTGCGATCTAAAAAAAATAGCTGAGCGGCACTTGAACAGGCGTACACGGCTTAATGTTGTCTTCCGATATTGCTGCTTTTCTTGTAGTGCTGTCTTATAAAGTTTATTCTCAAAAACTGAGTTAAAAATTCACTAGTAAAGATTTTAGGCAACTGACCTTTATTAAGATAAAAAAGCCCTAGGAATATCAAAACTGCCTCCAAGGCTTACAAACTTTGCGAACTTTCCATGCAGATTATCAGGTCACAATCGCAAAGGTAGACCAATTCTGGCCACAAAGCCAGTTCGCCTTGTTTCTTTTACGCTGGGGCTCTTGGTGCCATTGCTTTCATTCACTGAAATTTAATTTCACTTTTTGCTCTTCTCGCCGGCAGTTTATTAAGTTTCGGGCGCTTTGATTGGTTTCTCGCACTTTTTGACGGTTTTCTTGAGAACAGCGACTTGATGACAAAATGAGAATTAAATTGCCATTTTCTCTGACAAACTTTAATCCGAAGACTTAGCTTTAAACTCGAAAGGTCTGCAAACCACTCCGCTGCACCGCATGGTTTGAGAACTTTTTTCGTGTACTCTTAACACCCCGCGTGGTTTCTTACAAAGGTAAACCAAAGGACGCAAAAGTAAATTAATTCAATTTGTTCCCCTGTGATGGCTCAAGTTTTTTATCTGACCTACTTCTCTTATAAGCCTCCAGTACAAACGGGAAAAAAAATTTAACTGTTCAAAATCCAGCTTTGTTACAACAAACTCTTAATCAATAAAGAGAACGAAGCAGATTTTTTCATTCGGGCTTAATGTAACTACAGCAATCAAGCTGCGCGCGCGCACTAAAACCAATACAAAGCAGTGCCTGCGACTGCAACACTGTGCGTGCGTGTCTTTTTCCTTTACGTAATTGTCTCACGCGTGTGTTGTTTACACTTTCGGAGCTGTTTAGCGCGTGGCCAATAATTTAAGTTGTTAGGGTATTTAATCTTTGAGCTGTTCGTGGATATTATTTTCCTTTATTGCAAGTTTATTTGGGGCGTTCCTCTACACCTATCGAAAGCCCTTTATGTAAGTATTTGCCCAAAGCGTGCTTAAGATATTTCGAGAAAGTTCGTAAATATCGCGCAAGAACACGCGAACACAGGCTAACTACCCTTGTTGATAAATTCAGTCGACGCAGGTTTTGAGTCACTTCACAAGAAGTTTGGCCGATTGCCGAACAACAAGTTAGACTGAATCAGCGACTAGTAGGGCAACACCAGTTAATTATTTTACTTGGTTTATGTAAGTAAGTAACTAAATCTTTATTAAAACACTGGAAATCATCAGTTAAGCTCAAGTTATAAACTAAGACTAATTACGACTGCTTTGCATGAATGCCGTGTGGGAATCCGAAATATCAGCTAGCTTCTTGATATTTCGCTTAAATGCTCAAAGGATGAAACATTTTTTAAGCTTTTGGTCAAGTTATTCCACAACATGGCTCCGCTGTAAGAGAAGCTTCGTTTCAAATAATTGGTGCTTGGTTTGGACAGGGTCAGCCCTCCGTCAAAGTTTCTTAAGTTGTAAGCAGAGTGACGCCGAGAGAAAATAATTTGTAGATATTCGGGAATAAGGTCATTCACAGTTTTATACATCATTAAGGCATTTTGTTTCTTTCGTCGAAGAGATAGCCTCTCCCAGTCGAGGGTGGAGAGAAGTTGGTTTGAGCTCATACCAAAGGGAGATTTTGTAATAACTGGCTGCACAATTCTGTAATTTTTGGAGCTTATCACTCAAGTAGCCACTCAAATAGTCCAAGAAGAGGCTGCAGTAATCAAAATGAGACATAATTAAAGCGTTATAAATTTGAATTGCAGTTTCTTTGGATATAAAGGACCGCACACGTTTTAGGACGCCTGAAGCTGAAGAGAATTTTTTGCAAATCTCTTCAACGTGTTTACGCAAATACAGTTGAGCATCTTTGGTAATTAAGACCCAAGGATATGGTCTTATCGACACTTGATAATTTGGTCATCAGTTCTGATTTCTACATAGTCCAATTGGGCAGATAGTCTTTGTCTTGATCCAATAATCATTAGCTCTGCTCTAGCAACACTTAGACTGAGCTTGTTAGCTCTCAGCCAACAGATAAGGTTATTTAATTCAGGGGTTAGAGCTAGCTTAAGCTCTGTTAACGTCTTAGAAAATAACGTAAGATTGGTGTCATCGGCAAACATTCTTGGTACGGCGCTCCTCAAGGAGTTGGGAAGATCATTAATGTAAATTAAGAATAGCAAAGGACCCAATATGCTATCTTGCGGCACGCAGCAGAGGATACAAGCAGATGATAATTTGACCAGCCATCAGTTCTCATTCAGCCTTGAGATCTTTGACTGATCATCTCAGAAAAAATTCATGCTGAATGTACAGCAGTTTGAATTCTTGATTTGTACTTCAGAAAAGATTTATATTTTCGTAGTTTCAATTCCATCCATTAACATTGTAAATTTGTAACATATGTGCTTCAGAATAATTACCTCTGGTTACAATTGTTAAGACTGTGAAGACATACGTTTCAAATGCAAACACTGACTTGGTTTTCAGTTTGAAACGAGCTTATGTTGATACCCTTCAAATTAGGGCTAAAATAACTCTGAGCTTAAATAACTCTTTTTGTTTTTTTCCCATGGTCTTTTATATGTTTCTTTATTAAGATAAATTTTACAAACACCGAACTACAAACTCGTTATGGACTATGATTAATATCGATTTTAGCCGATCACTTACTTCAGTTTGGTGATATCCATTCCTTTAGAGACATGGCCATATAAATTTCACACACATCTTACACAGTATTGCGTTTTAGAGAGTCATATGAGTAGTGGCCCTATAAAAGCTGTATTAACCATTCTACTCACAGTTCTTTAATGTATTCATTTTCGTGGAAAGCTCTTGGAGGCAGCTGTTCCAATTGGTTATAGGACAAGTCACTACAAAAAAAAAGAAACAAGGTGAACCCAAAAACAAGAAAACAGGGTTATTGGACTAAAAGGTTCAATTCAACAAAAGCTAACGAGTTTTTTCCAGCTAAAGAAGCTTTGAAGCTGAATTACAACAAGTTTGAACTAAATACAGTTTTACTGTTTATGAAACACAAGAATTCCCCTTGGATGCAATCTGCATTAAGAGATTTTAAATCGCAGTCTACAATCTCTTGATCTGCAACGAATCTCTGACGAAGCTTTCCTTTCTCTGCAGATGGCAATATCTCCAACCCGCTGGATCTTGTAATGCTGTCAAATAACAGCAAATCAGATGCTTTATTTGCTCTCTTTAAAGAAGCCATTTAACTCTCTCATCAATGGAAAACTATTGAGAATTGAAGCGCAGCCAGGATGAGACATATTAAAACACAGTGAAAACGTTCTCTGCCCAAGAATTTTAGAAAAACATAAGCTTTCGGCTGTCGATCTACAGCCTTCCACGGATAAAACACGAAATGTAAATAAGTAAAATATGTACAAAAAACGAGATAAAGTTGATAAAAAGAACAAAGAAAAAATATGGAAAGGGTGGTTATTGTTTTAAAAAAAAAATGCTATACTGATTAGGGATCGTTATTGTCCGCATTCTTGATAGCAGAGGTGCGCCAAGCCTCAAGAGTTTTACTAATAGGAAAAGAGCCTTTGTCGATAACCAGAGATCAATCATTCTTTACGCAGTCGATCACACCTCATGCTGATTAGTATAAATTTTAACAGTAGTGCCAGTTTGTTTCTTTTCGACTCGTGAATAAATTATACGACTCTTACTGATTATACGGATCGACAAGTCAGTTTTACGAATCGTTATGATCCGTAGTTTTCAATAACCCTTTAGGCTGCCGCAAAAGATTAAATAATATCAATCAATTTCAATGATCATTTACAATTAGAAAACCAAGTCTTGCGTCGAAATTTCCAACCAAGTAAAATAAAAGAATTACCGATTCAAGTAATGATTAATGCGGCCGAAACCTATTTAATTCCCTAAAACGAATAAGGCAACTAATACACAAATAAAGTTGAAAGAGATTGAAATAACCAAACCGCGGGACTCGTAATGTAACCGCATGCTGAACAAATGAGAACACTTCACAAGGTTTTTGACCCATATTAATAACTCGGCATCGGTTCAACAAAATAAAATGTGAAATTTCTACTTTTTAGGTACAATAGGATAAAAGCGAATACATTATAGACTGCCACATATCAGTATAGAAATAAACTTTTATAATTTCAAACTGCCTTTAATCTATTTCATGAGAAAAATCTTCGCCAAAAACAAGGTAACTTCTGTAATTAATGCTCAGTCAATGCTCTCAAAAAATGTGGAACGTTGACTTGTCATTAATAACCGACTCCCGGTTAGCTCAATGGATAACGCGCTGAACTGTTGTGCGGGAGGTCGAGGGTTAGAACCCCGGCCGGACCAACACTCAGGGTCTTCAAATCATTCAGAAGATTTTGCTACCTTTCTATAACATCAAGAAATGGTTAGATATTCTAGTCTTCTCGGATAGGGACGAATAAATGGAGGTCCTGTCTCCTGCAGGGTTGGGGTAGGAGACGTTAATTTCCCACACACGAAATTACTGTGTGATGGATGTGCTCCCCTGGGGTGGGATGGGTGGGAGGGTGGACTAGCACGAATGGTTCCTATGTTCCTTTCCAGTCCTTCCCCCACTGCAAAAAACTTAATGCTGTGAAAATGGACTAAATTAAATTAAATTAAATTAACACATGGCACTGGTAACAACGCACGGGGGATTGATTATTGCAGTTTTCGACAGAGACTGATGATTCCAGACCTGAGGCTGATCGTTGTAAAAACAAGCTCCACTGTTTGATTTCAATAATTTCCTTAGCACGAAAAAGTGACTAAAAAACGGCAAATAGCCAGAAATGCATGTTAGTAGAAAAACTGTCCTCTTGTGAATATGATGAAAAAAATATGACAAAGAGAATGCTTTCCAAACTCTTAAAAGAAAATTGCGGTAGGACAGAGTTAATTTGACCTACCTGGTTGCCTACAACTCGGAGTTTAGATCATTAAAAATACCACATCATGTCATAGACAACTAAACAGGCTAAATGAGTTAAATGTTCGTCCTTTTTATGTAAAGTTTATACCAGTAAAGAAAATAAAGCAATGTTTGGCGTGGAATATTAATAGAACTGCCTCCAAAGCAACTCGACAATAAGATTCCTTCCGCAGAAAGAAAGGTTAGGATTCACAAAGGTTCCCTGATCACACGCAACGAAACAGGCACATTCAGCATAATGTGTTCTGAATTTTAGACATATTAAACCGGCTCTCCTAGACCTACACTTGCTTCCTGTATCATTCAGCGTTTAATTTAAAATTTGCTTCTTTATGTTTTTAAGTCGTTAAACAACCGTAATATCTGTTATCTCTAAAACTTGCCTCCAACTATGCTCTTCGCTAGTTTACAAAATCTCTCCTGTCCGTTTCACGGTCACCTGCTCTACACTTGGGGATCGTGCTTTTGTTCATGCTACTCCTACCTTATGGTACTCGTTGCTGTTAACAATCAGATCTTGTAGCAGCCATGCTACTACTAAGAAATAACATTCCTTATTAAGAAAGTGTTCAGTACTACTGAGTTGATAATCCAGTCCCCCTCTCTCTTCCTCGCTTTTCTTTTGATACAAATAAAACTTGTTCCTATTGTCAAGTTATCTCAAACTTTTAAGCTTCAACTACAGCTGTATCAGTACAGGATAATAGTTTCTTAGTAAGTTGCTACTCCTATGAGGCACCCTAATTCCAATAAACTCCCCTTTTTTTCAGCCGATGATTAACATTCTCTGAAAGAAGTATTACATTTACAAATAATTGAACACTTCTCTAAATTTTTGAAACGCAGTTTGACGCATTTACGCTCAAGCATTTTTTAGTAATTATGCTAGAATCATGCTCGATCCTCAGCCTACAGCATTATTCAAAAAATCCTTTCGGTATAATCCATTTGGTTCTTTCAGTGACCGTCAAATAGCTTTAATTAAGGTCTTTCAGACCTCACTATTTTTTCTGCTCGTCAGCTCGGATTTGAGTTTCCATTTACTTTAAAAAGCAATAGTTTGGGATTCCTTCCTATCTGAATATTGTCAATAAAATCAAGAAAGCCGTGGAAACTGTTTGTCGCAGTGTAAGTGTTTCCATCAGGTTCTTTATGGAGTTCAAGTGATGTTTCGCGCGCTCTTTGTTCACTGTAATGATATTTTGGGAAGTTATATCAGCGAATCAGGGACGTATTTGAGGAAAATTACTTTTATGCTGTACTATAAATCATCTAAATTGATCATCTCTCACCGTTAATAACTGTCCAAATGTAGGTTGTTGCCCCTTTGGGTTATTTTCTCCAAATTGAGAATGATTTTACCACCAATTTGAATTTAACTTCCATCAAGGAGACATTTTACTTAACTGTGACAAAAGCGATGTTCACATTTCCCATGTAGTGCACCTTTTCGTGTGGCCAATTGAAGTCATTTAAGCTAAGAGGCATTTTCCATTATTGTATGTAGGATTTTCCAGTTCCGGAATTGAAAGCTTTATATTGAGCTTGAACCAGTTTCAAGGCTGACATCGTTCTAGAAAGACTTTTAAGGAAAAGTTTCAACAGCATTGCGTAAATGGTTTGACGCAATTACGCTTCAGAACTTCAGTTATTATATCGGAATTATGCTTGTTCCTCTGATTACAGCATTATAAACAATAATTGGACTCGCTTTTTGTGATATCCGGAATAATCAAGGTCGAGATAAGTGCTATCAGCCGAAGCAGAAGGCTGAGGCTGATAACACTAACCGAGACCTTGATTATTTCGGATACCCCAAAAACCGACGGAAACCAATAATTGTTTTATTATACATTCTTTTAGCATTTTCCGAATCTTTATCTTCAAGTAATTTCTCAATTTTTCGCTGGGTCGATGAAGCGAATCGAGAAGCCATTCTTTTACCTCGTTGTCCGTGAACTTTACATTGCTTCACCGGAAATCGTGCATTGTGAGCGCAACCTACAAATTATTCACTAATCTGTAGGTACAGATTAGTGAATAATCTGTTTAGCCAATGAGAAGACAAATGGTGACTACAATGTATTATAATACCCAAAATTATGTCTTATATTTATCTAAGCAGAGACTGCCCAATTATAATCAGTTAAGGCCTTCCAGATCTCCCCATTTTTACTATTTGTCGCAAACACTTCTGAATCTCGAGGACTCGTTTTAAGTTTGAAGAATGGAAAGCCAGTCTCCAAATATTTCCAAATATATTTAATTAGAAGTCATTCTCAGCATTACAATTTTTTGCCCGCTCTCATACTCTGAAAAATTGAATGGCTTATTTCATGAAAAATGATTAGGACGCACACCATCTTTTCGCTCTTTAGAATGTTTTTATCGCCTAGAATGAGAGAGAATCACCCAGACTGGATGTACATCATCCCCTCCGCGAATAAAGTGACACGTGACTCTGGGATACTAGAAGAAACGTCATGCCATAGTTAATCATGCTATCTAATTTATTTTTTTAATTAACTCAGCCCTTAGCTAGTCTCCAAAACCGAAACAATCATTCCAAACAAATTCCAAGAGTTAGCGAGTATTTTTTTTGCAGGATTGCTGATTTGAGCAAACAAGAGGCTCCTACTAATATTTCGGTAAGGAAGGATGTCAATCAGCCACAGTTTAATAACCAGGCGTCAGTGTATTATAAAGAACCGTGTGGAGTTGCCGTTCAATGGATTCTCCAATCTATAACCTCAAACTGAGTCGCTTCCGTGCGAATGGGCTGCTAGATAAATAGCGATGGCTAAAAAGTGTGAGAAACACTTGCACAATTGTAATTAAATGACATACCGAGATCTTTGAAGCCCGCTCTAACATTTCAGAGGATGTTACTGTCGGATTATATCTATTTGCACTACACCCGAATTACTTCTGAGATACCAATCAAGAGGGGAAATAAGGAACTCACTAGACTTAAATCTCTATAGATTATTAAAATAGGACTGAATCAGTTCATCTTTTCTTTTTCGCTTTTATAAATCGGACTTTCAAGCAAAGTAACTTTTGAAATTCATAAAGTCGTTGATTTGAGTTTCCATTTACTCTAGAAAGCAATTATTTGGGATTCGTTTCAATCTGAAGATTGTCAATAGAATCGCATCATGGAACAAAATCTCGCATTCTGATTGGTTAAGGAAGCGAGGTATTAAGCGTGGAATTGCGAGTTGAAAACGAGGCTAAGTGATATTGTTATTTCGATTTTGTCTTTTCGATTTCTCTCGCCTTGATGAAACCTGAAATAAATGCCAACTTCCTTCACATAAAGTGGATTGTTTTCAGGCAATTTAACTATCAGGATTAAACAATCCAGAACAACCAGGCTCTAACCTATTACATACAGTTCGTATTGCGAGCGTTTATAATGCAGAGTTTCTTTTCCAGAGGTCAGCTTCTCGTCCTCGTTTGGTGGATGATAGGGTTTGTAAGGAGGGACCGGGGGTATGGTGGCGGGGATGCACAATTTGGCCGGTGGCGTTTTATTGCTCGCCGTTGATTTTTTTCTCCCCCGACTTTATATTTTTTATTTGCAAGTAATAGAATTATGCACGAGACTGTTTCAGTTCCTCCCTTTACTCATATGGATGTGAAAGCAGGAAATAAAGATTTATGTAAGTTCGTACTTACAGTACATCGAGCTCTGTCGTCCTGTCGAAAACTCCCAGGGATAAGTTCTTTAACTGATTATTGGACAAGTACCTGTCAACAACAAATCACTACATCAGATGGTTAGATTTGCACTATTGGGCAATACTTAGAACTTTATATGACTCTTACCGGGTGGAGTGGGCTCAAACAGTTGCTGATTTAATTTTCAACTGGAAAGACTGGGCCTTAACGGTTAACATAGTAAATATTACTTTAATTTTCTATCTCATCTGAGACAAAAAACATTGGTCGCGTAGGTTTGAGGGAAGGTTTCTTCGATGAGTATAAAGTGGGACTCGTTATACAACCAGCTAAGATAAAACTCTTTGGTTAAAGTATCATATAGACGTTAGTTCACGAATTTTGGAGATTTAGACTTCTATAATTTTTGTGTCACCGTGAAGGATATGAACCTGCCGCCTCTTGACTAACCCTCCCCCCCACACCACGCCCTCACTCATGCGATCATTATCGACGACTGTTTTCAATAGCTATAGAAATAAGTAAGTCGACACTGTATTATAGATCATATAATCTACTTCAAAAGCCACTCCCTCCTCTATGAAATGTTATTGCCGCCACTTTGACTAGAATGGTTAATTAAGCTCCCATCAATAAAATTTCGTTGCTCGTCAATGAGAATAAAGTAATATTATCTGAGGCTTACCAAAGACTTAAAACGGATTATTAGGGGAACTGAAGCTTTTCCACAATGTTCTATTGATTTGTGCCCATTTTCTCTTATGAGTCACTTAATTTTTTCATATAACATAAAAATACCCAGCGTGAACAACTGATTCTGAGTGGTCCAAGAGAGATAATTATGAAAGCAAAAGACCACACTTTCTATCGGTTTACTGGCGCAATAACCCACGTGAGGTGTTAGAGGTCGTGATGGGGTTAACGTCAGCGGTCTAAATTAAAGAAACCTTATTATGTTCTCTAACTTTTAGATTCCCCAGCCTTAATTAGTCTTCAAAACTGAAACAATCAAGACGGACCAATTCTGAGAGTAAGCTAAGTTAGATTTTTTCGCCGGATTACTAATTAAAGGTAACTGTCAACGGGAAAGGCTGCCCTCCGAAAGTAGCGTCCCACGTGCACTTCTACAGAAGAAACCATGAAAACTAGCTTTTATAACGTATAGATTGTGAAAACAACAAAAGTTTTGATAGGTTCTGTTTTGGTAGAGACTTGCAAGCCTTTAAAGACAAAACTGACGGTGTTTGTTTAACTGAATAACCAGCCTTCGCGTTACCGCGGACATCCAAACAAACTGGACTGTATCACTCGACAGATGAAAGGCTAAAAAGGCATGTGAGGCTTTTTCGATATTCCTATGGTACAAGAGGGAATCTTTATTGAGTTTGAACACAAAAAAATATTTCGACGAATGTTCTGGCTAGTTTTCATCAAAATCCGCCAAAAGTAAATACCCTTTCAATTCGTTTGAGTAAAGTTGATTCGCGTAAAAACAGATTTGAGGGTTTCGGCCTCCAAAGAAATTGAGTTTAGGTTTTTGTTGAGGGTCAAGGGCAAAATGTCAAGGGTTCAAACAAAATCAACGATATTTATCATTTCACCTATTTACTTAATTTTTTTAATAATTATTCCTATCTTGAGGTTAGAAATGTCCGGATGTCAACCAGCGCGTTTCCTCTCTCTTAAACGCCTTCTCACATTCTCCTTTGTTGCTAGCACGTGTTTCAATGCGTGATAAAGTCCATGGGGGGAGGATTTTTGACAGCGTTCTCCTGTCTAAGTAATCTTTGTTGGATACTCTTTGAAACCTGCCATGCCGGCTAGATATGGAAAAGAAACTAGACAATTTAGGGTCTGAAGTAGCATTCAATCCGCCTGAGGACGGAGGATTACTTTTATACCTCGGCTGCACAGACAAACCGGGCATTGAAACCAAGAGCCTAAAGAAAATGGTGTTCGACTACCTAAAGAACGAAAGAGCAACAGTACGACGCTGATAACAAGTATTCTCGTTATAGTTCGATTTTCCCTCTTATTTTGAAGCCCATGGTCCACATTGCATTCATCTTTTCTGTGAAATACTTCAGCCGTCAAAATTCATCGCCAAAAGCATTTCTTGTCGCTGAAACAGTCACTAGAAATAACCAAGGTTTGTTCAGTGCGTTATGTACCTTATTATCACTTATTTTCGAGTAACTTTAATTTCGCGTATTTGGAATAAAAATATTTCGCGAGACTTAAAATTCGCAATTTTCACGAAATCACCGTTTTTTAAGATAATTAAATTTCGCGAATCAAGCTAACTGGTGCTCGTTTTTTAAACTTCCATTTCTGTATTTTATTAAACCATAACGTAATACAACCTCAAAGGCAACAGACAACTGGCTGAAATATTCAACAATGTCAGCAGCTTAGTAACATCTTTTAAAAGGGCTGATACAAGCAACATGACTCAGATGATGAGAATTAAAGGCATGTGTTGAACTGAAATTTGAGCCGTCCTATTCGTATGTAAACTCCCAGCAGACGGAAAGCTTAAATAAAGGACTTTATGAAGGTCTCTAAATTTTGTTTCTTTAATTTTAATTTCGCGGCACCTTTTTTTCGCGGGAGTTTAATTTCGCGAATTATTTTAAATCGCGAAAATTAAGTCTCGCAAGAATAACTGATAATAAGAAAGGTGCGAGTCTCCCCAAATTTATAAACCTTGCTCCGCCCGGTAAAAAATAATTAGTATTCAATAAATTAAGTTAATAAATAAGTTGTAATTGAATGAAGGACAGTGGAGTTGTGGCGGTTTGGATCTCCACTGATGATTTCACTTCCGTTGGAATGTGTTGCTGAATAAGTGAATACCGCTAAAAATGTAATTAAATCGCATACTCTGATCGTTAAAACCTGGTCTAACATTGTAGAGGATATCACTGTCAGGTTATATTCGTACGGCACCCGAACTAAATTATTTCTGAGATAGCAATCAAGATGGGAAAGGAATTAACTAGACTGAAATAACTAGAGAATATTCAAATATAACTGATAGAAATTGACCTTTTCTTTCCTTGTAGCAGTGCAAGTGTTTCTGTCAGGTTTGTCAGTTCAAGTGATGTTTTCCAGGGGCGGATCCTATGGTTTTATGATTGATTTAAATTTGACTTCCAATCAAGGACAGTCTTTATTCGCAACGATAGGGTCTAAAAGTACTTACGAATGAACACGAGTGACCACGAGTGACCACGAGTGACTGAGAGGCCAGTCTCCAACTGTTTCTAAATATACTAGCTTTTAAATTCATTCTCAGTATTACAGTGTTCGCCCAAAAACATACTTATTTCATTGAAAATGGTTGAGAAAAGCACCATCTTTATGCCCCTTACAATTGCAATGTTCTCTTTTCCTACTATATGAGAGAATCGCTCAGACTGGGTGTATATCATCCCCTCAGCGAATAAAGTGACACGTCTTTTGGATATTAAAGGAAACGTCTTGCTATCTAATTTTTTAAATTAACTCAGCCCTTAGCTAGTCTCCGAAACCGAAACAGTCGTGACGGAAATATTCCAAGAATCAGCAAGTTTTTTTTTTCAAGGACTGCTGATTTGAGTAATCAAAAGGCTCCAACTAATATAGGGCATATAGGGACGGGTGTCAATCAGCCACTATTCAAAAACTCCAGCTTCAGCGTATTATGAAGGACAGAGTTGCAGGCGGTTTGGATTCTCTATTCCATATCCTCAAATCGCTTTCATACGAATTTGTTGCTAGATAAGTGTCGATCGCTTAACGTGCGAGAAATACCCGCACAAATGTACTACAATAAAAAACTGTTATCTTTGAAGCCCGGTCTAACATTTCAATGGATGTCACTGTCAGGTTATCTTCGTACTGCATCCGAACTTAATCATTAGGCATAATGCTCATTGTTCTCGCAACATTTACTTGTGGTAGCGAAAAAATTATAGATCTGTGCTATTGGTGTCGAAGCGTAAACTGGTTGATTTTCATCGGACGAGATCTTGCGCCCTTTCACCCCAGGGAATACTGCTCTACCTCATTGACTTGTTAGGGCGGAGTTAGGAAACAAAGGCCTCGCCAGTTATTGTTTGTGCCATTGTTTCGTGTTATCATACTTTGCAAGCGAGTTTAAAAACCTAGCTGTTGAAAAACCTAGCTGTTGAAAATGCTAAAGCTTACAGCGGCCGTTTGCATCCGACTTTCTGCCAAACCATTTCAAATCAACAAACATTTCTCGTCATTGAATACCCCTCGAGTTTTATTGTAGTTTAAGCATTATGACTATAAAGAATATACTCATACACAGCGATTATACTTCTAAGATAGCGACCAAGAACTAGAGATTATTCAAATACAGCTGAATCAGTTCACCTTTTTTTGTTTTTCGCTTTTACACATCGGACTGTTATCCGAATGCCACTGTTAGGTTATATTTGTATTGCACCCGAACTAAATTATTTCTGAGATGGCGATCACAATGAGAAAGGAATATCATAACTTAAAAAAACTAGAGATTATTCAAATACTACTGAATCAGTTCACTTTTTTTCGCTTTTACAAATGGAGCTGTCATCGCGTAGTAAGGTAACTTATGAGATTCATAAGGTCGTCGATTTGAGTTTCCATTTACTCTAAAGAGCAGTTATTTGGGAATCGTTCCAATCTAAATACCGTCAATAAAATCAAGAAAGCTGTCAAAGCACCATGTAACAGTGCAAGTGTTTCCATCAGGTTCTTTATCGAGTTCAAGTGATGTCTCCCTAATGTTATAAATTGCGATAACGTACGTGCTTTGCGCTCTTTGTTAGGCCGCGCTCCCAAGATCGCATATGCCAATGTGGTTATCAATTCTAGTGATAGTCATATCCAGTGTATGGTTACAATCAGTAATCGCTTCTAGCAGTTCTACGTTTATTCAATTTTGGCTCTGAACAGTGCAGAGTTCCGTCAAAATCACCTTTCTTATCTGCTTTTTACAAATCAAACGAGAAATATGATACTTTTTAATCGATTTCTCTCGCCTTGATGAAACCTGAAAAAAGTGCCAACTTTGTCCG